GGGAAAGAGAGAGGCAGTGCGACGTCTCTGTGTTAAAATCGACAAGCAATCGCGAGTTTGATCCATGTAAGATCCTATCCGTAAACAGTGTTATTTTCTCGATACAAAGAGGGAAGGAGTCGAGAGGCTTACGATCGCGCGGATAATCAAGTATCAAGCGCACGCGAGAAGAAAATCTAACGCGCTCGATCCCCATCCCTGCCTCGCCGAACAAATCAAAAACATATGTAGAACCGAACACATATTTGTAAAAAAGATATACTGTGTCAGTGAATACAATAATCTTGAAAGCTAATGTAATAAGAAATTTTCTTTCTGTACTTCCCTTTTCAACACGATGGTTTTTGAGCGGGTGAACGCGCTCAAAATTAACTTGCAGAATGTTTAGAATGTGGAAAGGTTTTTCTTTTTTGCTCGCTTGAAAATTTATTTTGTTCATTCATTTATTTACACGCGCTACACACTATATATAGAATGTAAGATATGAACCTTTCGCACCTCGCCGCTCGCTCGACAGCGACTAAGGTATCCGGTATCACTGGAAACAATTGCACATTGCCAGGGAAAAAGATAGAAATACGGATGATGAACAGTGATATCCGTAAGATCGAGCAACAGCCATTCAACAAAACAGAATGCACAGAATTTGTACAACCAACAACTAATTATACAACAATTATAACCAATTATAAGGACATTGACAACCACACAATGCTTCGACATATGTACAAACGCGAATGTTTTGAAAATTAAGACTAAATTCGCGAGTGAGTAGTGTAACTAGGACGAAATGTCACCAACGTCGTCGGCATTGCACAAAAATCTTAAGCTCTATGAAAAAATACCGCTACATGTGTCCCGAATCTAAACGAATCGTAAGGAATCCTAGGCCCATTTATTTATGCTAAGGATGCGCGGATATTCACGACGATCTTAAAATCAGGTCAGATGTGACTCGAATTTTTCCTCGAATCTTTTCGATACTACGATGAATTTTATCGGATTACCCGAAATGAAATGGTTATTCCAATTATTTCGATTGTTTTCAGATTTTATTTATTATACACATATATAAATAACGTGTGTATAGATTTTATATATATATTTTATTTATATATACATCTATAAATAGAATATATATTATATATATAATCTCTATTATATCTGAATTCTTCTTTCTCTCAAGCTCTAAAAAAAAAAAAAAAAAAAACTCTTAAACCAAGGAGGAAA